TTATTATTATTATTATTATTATTATTATTATTATTATTAAGAGCAAGTGTGGCGTAGTGTAGTTTCAGTATTGGACTATAGCTCTGCAGACCAGGGTTTGAATCTTGGCTCGGCCATGTAAACCCACTGGGTGACTTTGAGTAGGTCACACACTCTCAGCTTCTGATGGCAAACCCCCCTCTGAATGACTGGGTGGGTCACACTCTCTCAGCCTCAGAGGATGGCAACAGCAAACCCCCTCCGAAGAAACTTGCCAAGAAAGACTTTTAGGGTCGCCATAAGTCGGGAATAACCTGGAGTCACTCAATACAGAGAGAGAGAGAGAGAGAGAAATGGCAACCATATGGGCAGGGAGGAAGGTGCCACAGTGAGGACCGCTCTCTGGCCTCAGAAGGGGGAAATGTAAAGGCTCCTGGGACTAGCTCAACATGGCCTCTCTCTCTTTCTTCGGGCCTAAGCAGACTGCCAGAAGTAGTGCACATTAAATTGAGGCACTGCCCTGGCTCAGTGCTAGGGAGTCATGGGAATTGTATTATTTTCTGGGACATTGAGCCTTCTCTGTCAGAGAGCTCTGGTGCCACAATAAACTACAGTTCCCATGATTCCCTAGCACTGAGCCAGTGCAGTGCCTCAATTTAATGTGCACTATTTCTGGCAGTCTGCTTAGGCCTTTCCTTTGGCAAAAAGAAAGCCAGGCGTCTCTACATTTCCCCTCTCTGAGGCGAGAAAGCAGCGTAGAAGCAGGCCATGAGGGGGCTGAGGAGGGAGGAGAAGGAGGCCCTGAGGGAAAAGGGGAGACGTGACAGGGCCGGGCCTCCTCCTCCTCGGGACGTGCCGCCTCAGGCCTCCCCTTTCCTCAGGCCTCGCTCGGCCCTTGGCCTTCTACGTGAGGCGAGGCAGCCACCGCCGCCGCCCATGAAGTATTATTAATGACTGGTTGGCGGTTTAATGGCCGCGGAGTGCTAAGAAAAACACACATAAAACACACACACACATCACACAAGAGGAGGCGAGCGCGCTTGTGTTTTTGAGAGGGAAGCCCCTCTCTTGACTGAAGGACATGGCTTATTCTCGTTGCATGTAGACTTGGCCCTCCTTTTCCAAAGCCTGTCCTCCATTCGTCTTCTGCCCAGGAGGAATTCCTAAATGTCTTCCATTCAGGGTGACCATACATCCTCCTTTTTTTCAGGATATGCCCTCCATTTTTAGCCTCCTGTCCAGGAGGAATTCCAAAATGTCCTCCATTCAGAGTGACTACTAGACGCTGTCCTTTTTCAGGGCATATTCTTCATTTCAGCCTCCTGTCCAGGAGGAATTCCTAAATGGCCTCCATTCTTCTTTTTCAGGATATGTCCTCCGAATTCCCAAAAATCCTCCATTCAGGGTGAACAGATGTCTTCCTTTTCCAGGACATGTCCTCCATTTCAACCTCCTCTCCAGGAGGAATTCCAAAATGTCCTCTATTCAGGGTGACCAGACACTGTCCTTTTTCAGGACATGTTCTCCATTTCAGCCTCCTGTCCAGGAGGAATTCCAAAATGTCCTCCATTCAGAGTAACCAAATGTCCTTTTTCAGGACATGTCCTCCATTTCACCCTCCTGTCCAGGAGGAATTCCAAAATGTCCTCCATTCAGGGTGACCCAACGTCCTCCTTTTCCAGCACATGTCCTACATTTCAGCCTACAATTCAGAAGAAATTCCAAAATGTCCTTCATTCAGGGTGACCCGGTGTCCTCCTTTTTCAGGACATGACCTCCATTTCAGCCTTCTGTCCAGGAGAAATTCCCAAATGTCCTCCATTTTGAGCATGATTTATACTTATATGCGTGTTTTTGGCTTTTTATTTTGTCATGTCCCACATTTTTCTTGAATGCCCTACATTTTGCAGTGCCTTGCCCTCCTTTTTGGTTAGGACATCTGGTCACCCTGATTTTGGGTAACATAGCCATGTTAATATGGAGTTGTTGTGTGCCTTCAAGTCTTTTCCTACTTATGGCGACCCTAAGGCGACCCTATCCTGGGATTTTCTTGGCAAGTTTCTTCAGAGCGGGATTGCCACATTCCTTTCCCCTGAGGCTGAGAGAGTGTGATTTGGCCAAGGTCACCCAGTGGGTTTCAGGGCTGAGCTGGGAATTGAACCCTGGTCTCCAGAGTCGTAGTCCAAAACTTAAACCACTTCGCCACGGCCATGCTGGCTCTATTTCAGCGTATTTCCTTTCCTTCTCCTGTGCCACTGCCTAGGAGAAAAGGAGGACTCTGCACAATCATCCTTTGCCACAAGAAGCAAGTGTATTTTCTCGCTCTGCATCCGCATTGCAGAGATAATCCAGTATGACACCGCTTTAAATTCCATGGTTCCATGCAATGGAATCCTGGGGTTTGTAGTTTGTTGTGGCACCAGAGCAAGAGAGCAAGCATAGTGTAGTTTGAGCATTTGACTACAACTCTGGAAACTATGGTTTGAATCCAAGCTTGGACATGGAAACCCAAATCATGACTTTGGGCAAGTCACATTCTCTCAGCCTCAAAGGATGGCAATGGCAAACCCCCTCTGAAGAAACTTGCCAATCAAAGCATCCCCAACAGATCGCCATCCAGCCTCTGTTTAAAAATCTCCAAAGAAGGAGAAGACCTGCAGAAATACACACTCCAAGGCAGCCTATTCCACTTTTGCACAACTCTTACCATCAGGAAGTTCTGCCTAATGGACCTTATCACAAAGGGGAAATCGCGTACAGAAACAGGATTTAAAAGGTGGGGGAAACCCGCAAAAGCCGGTAGATTTTCACACATATCACTGTTAAATTGTGCTTAACCTGAATGGAAAGCAGTCAAAAGCTGCTTCTTTTTACTTTCAGGATTTTCCGAAAATAAAAAGAAGTGGCTTTTGACTACTTTCCATTTTGGATTAAGCACACTTTAACATCGATGTCATCTGAAAATCTACCCTCTTTTGCGGGGTGTGTGTGTTTCTATTTAAATCCTGTTTCTGCACGAGATTTCCCCCATGTGATAAAGTCCCTAATGTTAAGGTGGAATTGCCTCTCCTATAGTTTGCATCCATTGCTCCATGTCCTAGACCAGGGGTAGACAACCTAAGGCCCGTGGGCCGGATGCAGCCCCCCCAAGGCCTTTGGACCGGCCCCAGGCCGGTCCTGCCGCCCCCGCCCCTGCCGCCGACCACCATGATGATATTGATTATTGTTGTTATTACTTGTTCTCAGGGTTTTCTTGGCAAAATTTCCACAAGGGTTTTGCCATGGGGCTGAGAGAGTGTGCATTTATTTATTTATTTATTTATGGTGCTTCAGCCCCCCAATTGTCTGAGGGACAGCAACCCAACCCCTGGCTCAAAAAGGTTGTCTACCCCTGTCCTTAGACTCTGGACCAGCAGACAAAAAGCTTAATGGGATCACCATATATTGACAGGTGACTTGAAGGTGCATAAATAAATACATACCCACACATTGTGGCATAGCTTGGGTGTACATAGTTGTAGCTATTGAATAGGGCTGACAACAGGGCAGGCCCTCCTATTATTTATCTATCTCTTGAACTATTTATGTCCCACCCTGCATCACGAGATCTGTGATCGGCTTACTGATAGCATCAATTTAAAACCATTTAGAATCGTTTAAATAGAGGAATAATTTAAATACTCTAAGCATGTTTTAGTCAACTTAATTAAAACAAATTTATTCCTATATAGATCTAGAACAAAATCGCTGGACCCCAAAGTTCTTGATAAAATGCCATGTTTTAATTTGGTGTCTGAAATAAGCCAGTGTTGGCACCAGGTGGGCCACTGAAAATGCCTTTTCTCATATTCTCCCATAGTGTATTACTCCTATTGTTTGGACACAGCATAGGGCCCCTCCAACAGACCTCATTCCTTAGGTATATAAGAGGAGAGACACTCCTTTGGGTATTGATGTCCTCAGATATTTAGGGCTTCAGATGTTGAATAAAGTCCCAGTACATTGGCTCCCTCTTTAGGATTTTCCTGTTGGGGTTTACAGTTTATGGTTGAACATTAAGAAAACAAAAATAGCGACCATAGATAATTTAAAGTAGACAATGAAGACACTAAAAGATTTCCTATATGTTGGCTTAGTCATTAATCAAAGCAGAGACTTCAGTCAAGAAATC